GTGGTTAGTCTGAACTACTGTGATGCTTTATTTGTTATCAGTGATGACTGTGACTCATGATGACTAGAGGTTGTTAGTCATGCCTACAAGCCTCTGACATTTTCTCGACTCATCAAAGGTGTAAACGTACAACTCATCATAGGGCGACTAGACGTTGTCAGTCATGCCTACAAGCTTCTGGCATTTTCTCGAATCATTGAACATGTGAACGTACAATTCATCATAACGTCGTCATCTGTTTGCCAAGACGCTGCCATACGCACATGCGCAGTGAATGTTACTCAATGTAAGGTATGCTGCGCTATAATGTTAAAAATACCTTAACTCTGGCGAATGAGTCGCTGCATCTAAGCGCAACGTGCTTCAAAAATCGTGTCAATACTTATGAATATCCGCTCGGAATTTTGTCGTTTTTTTTAGCGTGATTGATGGGAGGTAACATTCTGCTTCATATAATATTTGACATGACAGACACCTCGGGAACACGTCTTGGGATCTGCCAGCTACTAGTTATTTCACTGTCTGTTCTTCGCTCACTTATGGTGTTTAGTTGACATTGTACCAAATCATTCGTTAACGTTTTTTTTTTTCAGATCATCAAGCGTCTGATCGAGGCTCGCCAGGCGTCCATCCGGAAGGTCCACCCGGGCCTGACCTGCTTCAAAGAGGGCGTGCAGGGCATCCCGATCGACTGCATCCCAGGTGCGTTCTACGCCACTCGTCCGGCGTCCGCCCGGCCGTCCGCAGAAGTGGTTGAGAGGTTGCGCATACGATTGAACGCTTAGACGGCAAACGTTTTGTTTTAGCCTTCAGCGTCACTCCAACCGTCGCTAGCCCTCCGCTGCTGCCGTATACGAATCAATCCGTTTTTGTGACTAGGTCATATTCTTCCCTCGGCCAGTCCGGCCAACGTATCCCTCTGATATTAATTTACAATCCTATGTGAACCAACTCATCGTAACCAGTCGGACTGGTTTGCTGCCTTTCGACAGAAGTATCGCTCGCCAAACAACCCTCCCCCTGGTGCGTTCACCCCCCCCCCCCCACGCTCCCGCCGGATCTGCCGCACACATAGTCGGGAACAGTCGGGAGATTACACAATCGCTCTTACTCCTACTATGCAGTATGCAGGCTGCAAACATACGGTTTTAGTTTCAGTCGTTAATAATTCTGTGTCGCCTCGACCGCTACCATTTCGACACCAGGGCTGCCGGCCGGACCATGATACCGCCTCGACCATTATCATTCACCACCCTTCATCCATGATATTGGAGCGACTCTGCTTCCGGCTGCGACCGGACCGGCGACCCCGACTAACGCCCCCCCCCCCCCCCATCGCCAGGTATCCGCGAGGCCGGCTGGAAGTCTCCGGACAAGTCTTCCCGCGTGACGCGCCACTCGGACGAGCTGGGTAACGCCGAGCTGCTGCAGGGCACCCTGCGCACCCTGCTGCAGAACATGCGCCAGCACAGCGCCGCCTGGCCCTTCCTCAGCCCGGTGGACCCCAACGACGTGCCCGACTACTACGAGTTCATCAAGTACCCCATGGGTAGGTGGGCGGCCCCAGCCGTGGTGATGGGGTGGACGCACGCCGGGGCTCAGGGAGAGTGGTTTACGTGAGGTGGAGTCTGGCTCTGCAGAACGATGCAAGATTGATCAAATTGTACTTTTTCTGACGACCATAATTGTGTGGTCTATGAACACATTCGTTGAGTCTGAGTCCAATGCTTATCTTATCTACCTTACGTTAACATTTGCATGGCAATATGAATCTGTACTTGCGATTCGAATTCCTTACGGCGCTGCTTTAGGGATCAATGGGTGACACTTGCCCGTTTTTTCCGCAGACCTGGAGACGATGTCGAAGCGTCTGAAGAACAAGTACTACTGCCACAAACGGCTGTTTATCGCCGACGCGACGCGCATCTTCACAAACTGCCGCATGTACAACGATCCCGACACGGAATACTACCGGTGCAGCACCGTGCTCGAAAAGTACTTCCAGAGCCGCCTCAAAGACGCGGGACTGCTCGACAAGTGAGCCGCACAAGTGAGACCCGCCTGACCGAGCGGACGAGGACGTACAGGGGGTCGGGGAGGACCGTCATAGACAGCCGGGCAGTATGACGTGTGCTGGGATACCCAGCTGTGCTTTCAGCTGGCTTTCGAATGTGTGTACGTGGGGGGGGGAGGGAGGAAGGGGGTTCACGGATGACGCGACAGAGAAGCCGAACAAGTGTTGTCATACGCGACTGCGCTTTGGATGGCAGGCCTCGTCGCAGACTGAGCAGACGGCTGTGGAAACGTCCACAGGCCGCTGTGAGCTCTGACGGCTTGATGGGGCGACATCATGGCAGGACGTCCTGTCTGTGACGTCATAGCGTGGGTGGTTCTGAGGGGTCAGGCCAACAGAGTGCTCAGACGCAGACCGTATGCCTTTATCTTCTGCAGGCGGCCGACCACACTAACGCGACAGAACGTTGTGTAATGCTTAGCTAGCGTACACAAATGAGTCACTGCGGTAAGTTTTCTGCAGCTAGGTTACACTTGTTGGATAGGACCGGACGGCAGCGTTTGAGCGTGCCGTCTCTTTTTGTCTATATAACCCAGGTCGTGGGTTTGCGTTCTTAGAGCGAGAGGCCGATGTAAGCTGAGCTGGCCCGGCATCTCATTACTGCCAACAGGCGCCATCTTTAGCCGAGACGGTTGTGTTTATTTTGCCGAGAAAACGGCAGTATCACCCGGTGCGTCCTGCTCATCATGCTACCATTGTGGTTTACTCACTTCTATTGTTAGCATCTAACAAGTTACATCCTCAATTCATCGAAACTTTCCCACTTTATCACCAATGTCATCAATGTATATGTTACAGGCAAAGTGAAAACTCGGGCATTTTGCAAAATGCCTAGGCAATTTGCAAAATGCCTGACCCGCCAGGCATTTTGCAAAATGCCCAGGCAGTTTGCAAACTGCCTGACCCACCAGGCATTTTGCAAACTGCCTAGGCATTTTACAAAATGCCTGACCCGCCAGGCATTTTGTAAAATGCCTGGGTTTCCATATATTCCACCGTTTTTGTTGACTACAGCCGTTGATCATAAACGTTCCACTGTGACTGACCCCACAAGTTACACATTTCACATGTGTTGTGTTCACATTGACACATTCCACGGTCACGAATACGGGTGTCACGAAATTGTTGCGGGATGTTGTACTGGTGTCCCGAAATGTATTGCATCGTATAGTTGCGTCAGTGTTCTCCAGTACCTCGCTGACAAGTTATCAGCGGCCACATGGTCTGTCCCCGCGGCACCTGGTGAAGCTCAAATAGGCCTCTGTAGCCCATCATGCCCCAAACGAGAATCCCCAGTGCCCAGTGGGTGCTTCACCGTCTCCACGGCGCAGCGCCTCTGAGCTGCTGTTGGCCCAGAACTGCTTGTCGGGACGGTTAGTGACTAAGAAGAGCTCTAATAGCCGTTTTCACGACGGGCTGTCCGGTGAGTGCACCTAATTTGACCAAATATGCACCTAATCTCTCTTAATACAGCAAATATCTTTATTTTATGAATTTATTTCAGTGTTTTAACCGATGATGCTCTCTGATAATATGACAAAGGAGGTATATAAGCAATTAGTACAACCCTAGCTGATAGCTACTAAGAGACACACTGAACCTAATTTGACCAAATATGCACCTAATCTACACCAGATGTGAACCAAATGTGTACCAGATGGCCGTCGTGAAAACGGCTAATATCACCTCACGGCCTCATCATTGAAAAGTCTGAATATCTAGTCCTGAATGGTCCAGATTTGGTGGGTTTTGTCGAAATCCAGCTGCATCACTTATGGATGACGGTAAGTCAGGGTTGCAGCCTGAGGTTGAGCGGCTTCAGCTTCAGGGTAAAATCTTCAGATACCGGGGGATGGCCGATTTAGATGCCGAGTGCCCTGGACCAGATGCCCTGGTGCCGGACCCGTTAAAATTACATCCATTCAGCACTCAGGAGGGACATGTAGGGACAAGACCGCGCCAACCGCGTATCAAGTTCGTGACACTCTGTATACCTATACGTTTTGCGTCAATTCTGTCGAGATGGAGCCAACGCTGAATGGACTTGAACGACCTTCTCCGTACCTTTCGTATATGCGGAGTTGTAGCCGTGTGTATAAAAGCTGCGATGTCCAGCATTCTGCCCTGGTGGGCAGCTGTTCCGGCAGAGACGATTGATAATGTACCTAAACGTGTCACAATCAAATTTTCGTAAATTGGAAGAGTATTCTTTTCTGATCAATATCCACCCATAGTATTTCCAAAAAGCCACCAAGAGCTCTTAGAAACAGTACAATCATTGTACCGAGCGCATGTTTACCCACGAAACCACGCCCGGTGCTCGGCACCCGACGGCCGCTGGGGCTCAGTGACCTGAACTCGGCGGCGCTACCCGGAGAACGCAGTGTCCCCTCACTTGGTGCGCATTGACAGCGATTAACTTTTGTAAGCGGCAGTTACAAATGATGCATACCTATACATCGTCGCTAGTGCGAGTTTGATGTCAGGCATTTTGCAAAATGCCTGGGAAAATATTTCAGGCAGTTTGCAAAATGCCTGGTGGGTCAGGCAGTTTGCAAACTGCCTGGCCGGTCAGGCATTTTGCAAATTGCCTAGGCATTTTGCAAAATGCCCGAGTTTTCACTTTGCCTGTAACATATATAACTATGTAATTAGTGTTGTAATGTAGTACGCGGCTGTCTGTGTAGTGTGTGACCGATCTCGTTTGTAAGATATGCGTCTTATTAATTTGCTTAGTACGTAATATATTGTGGCATTTGTGTGCCTAACGACAGGAAATACGTTTTTGTGCCGAGTGCTTGTGTTGCTTTTGAGGCATTTCAGTGCAAAGTCCCGTAGTCTGGTGCGGAGCGTATGTACGCTATTGAGAGCTAGCCGTCGGACTTATCCGTTCACAAACATGCGTCTTGTCTCTACTGCGTATACATTTCTGTTTAAATTGCTGACTTTATTTAAGCAATTCAGTATAGTTTCACATCGCACGAAGACGTCTTGACACTCGAGTCACTGGCCCTAATCAGCAGAGAAGTAACGACGATACACAGCGGAGTATTACGACAAAACATCCACATAGAGATCACACATAGAACAACTGGATAGTATAAATGGAATCGAGTTACAGTTCGTTTGGTTCACACTAAGAGTGTATGGCCGTGTGGTCGCTACTCGCACAATTCACAGGGGTATGGACTGTGCGCCACATAAAAATTCAAAACCACCCACTCCAGCCCCGAAAGCCCGCTTCACATAACCCTGGGCGGCGACGATTACACGGACGAGATTTCCATATCGTAGTCCGGGTTGCCGGCGATGAAGCTCTTGATGAACTTCATGTGGTCCTCGGTGGTGACGCTGCAGCTCTTCACCTCCGGGTGCTGGGTCATCCTCATCACCCATTCGTGCTGTGAGAGGAGAGGGGAGAGCGTGAGTGGGCGGGACACAAACTTACCCCTCAGGGACACACTGGTTTAGAGTTTCATTCACGTAGTTGGCAGTGCAAATAGTTCCGCGTGCCGTCAAAGGCGGTCTCATTACTGTAATGACTGGAGTCATCTGGATAGGGACGGTAAACAGATAGGCACTAACTTGGAACAAAGCCCAATCCAACACGCTAGAGCACTCATCACAGTGACAAAGAGCAAGCCACAATGCGAGTCGTCAGTAGGTAAGTACAGCCGGTACAGGCCGTCGAAAATAGCGTTTTCTGACAGCTTTGTGTTGGAGACTCACGAAGTGTTTGATCTCGGGGGGCGGCGGCGGCATCTCTCCCGTGGGCAGGGAGGTGACGCCCAGTTTGCGGGCCGCCGGGAAACGCTCCACCCACGGCCAGATCATGAGGTCCAGCATGCCCGGACGGTCGCCGAAGAAGAACGGCGTGCCGCGCTCCACCAGCTCCTTCTCAAAGATCTGTCGGCGGACACAGGGGAAAATGTCAGTGTCGGATACGGCTGCGGTTCCAGCGGACAGGACGGTCAGCGATAGCCTGTCAGGACACGGGAAACGGAACGCATGTTGGTGGCGGACATGCGTGTCGGCAAGCGTCGGACTATTGGACACGAGGACACAGTGGGGGACAAGGGCTGCAAATCTTTTCAGTTTTCTTTTCACAAGGATGATAAGCGGACAAGGCCGGGACAGCGGCCTCCTGTAACTCTGATATGCACAATGCGTGGTGTTGAGCGTTCACGCGTTCATCGATCCCCCAGTTAGCCACTCCCTCCTACCCCGCCCCTCCCCTGCGGGAGAGGACTTATCGGCGATGACTGGGACGAGATAGTGGGAACTAATGTTTGTCTACGGTGGGCTGTGGACGGCAGACTGCGGGACGATAACCAGCACTGCGCACATAGTACCTCACTGTGGACGAGCACTGGCCATGTGCCGCTGGACTCTGGAGATAATTGGGCACACGACAAATAAGACCCTGTGACCATCGAACTAAACTTTCATGCTGGTCTCACCATGTGAGCTATGGCATTTTCCGCGTGGATGATGGATTCAGTCGTGTCGCCTAACTTCTTTGACACACAACCTGGGAGTTCGTTGTTCGCCCAGTATGCTATTTGTTATCCTTCTGTCCAGTATTCAGTAACGATAAAGATATACTGCCGGGCGATCAGTCTTACCTGGAGTTTTGTGTTGAAGTCTTCGCTGATTTGTTTGATCTTCTGGGCGTCTCCCATGGCGCGGTACATCTGGTACGTGAGGCTGCTGACCTGCCAACAGAGGGTGCTCCGTGAGACCTCTGCGTACGGCACCCTCCCTCACCGGGGCCAGGGGTATCGGCCGAGTCAGTGTCGCGGGCGCGACAGCCGGTGGGGAAACACGCGGTGACAACATATCCTGTGTAAGCGACAGGGGAAACACCGCAGTTCCGGGCTCTTAGCTGATGCAGGCCAACACACATTTGTTGGATGAGCTCAGTAAGGATTCCCGTACTATGTGCATAGAAGCCGGACGCGAGTCTTGAGAAAATGCCTAAACGGAATTATTCATATAAATCACTCACCTTTTTATCGTCCCTGTGGTCACTGTTCATGCACACACCTTTCAAACTCTTATTATACCCCCCCCCCCCCCCCCCAGGTCCCCTCCGACCGCCCATCGTCTGCCTGCCACCACTCACCGAGCCAAAGACCTCGACCATGAGGCGGTCGCGGGCCTTGAGCCACGGGTCGGTCGGGTAGAGGGCCGGCTGAGGGTACAGCTCCTCCAGCAGGTCGCACGTGATTAGACTCTCCGTCGTGAAGCGGTCGTCCAGCTCCAGAGCGGGCACCTTGCCTCCGGTGGCGCTCTTGGCGAGATACCACTCGGGCTTGGCCTTCAGGTTGATGTTGACGATCTCATGGCTGAAGCGGGAGGAGAAAAGGTCACAGCTAGACTGTGTCGGCGACAGCGATGTACGATGTAAACATCAGTTGACACTTGACTGCATTAACTCGATTTAGGGCGTGCTACATCTTTAGCAGCAGTATCCTTAACCCCCGCCCGCACATGGGGGGGGGGGGGGGGGGTGGTTGCCACCCCCCCCCCCCCCCAGGTAGTCTTTCTGCTCTGCACTCAACATTTTTAGAGCTAGAAGGCTGATTTTTCGTATAGCTGCTCCTCTATCCTTTCTTGATGTCCACCGAAAATTTCAAGTTTCTGTGGTTTTTGGTTTCGGAGATATGACCTTGTTTTTCAGGTCATGTCATGACCCAAATGGCCAATTTTCAACATCTTGCGTTGGCTATGGGCCTTGTGAGCTTCTGACACCTTGATTTCGGCCTTTTTTGCCAGTCTTACCTCCCACCTATCATGGAACATGTTGTTCGACGATGTACAGATGTCAAGGTCAAGGTCAAGGTCAACCTAGGTCATCTAAGATAATTGCGTTTTAGGCAAGCGGAATTTACTTTTTGTGAATTTTTTTGACTGCATTTTTGGTAAAAGCTTCTCAGATCATGATTTCATGTAATATGGACACATAAACAATCGGTGCACACATCAGTATACACACACACACACACACACACACACACACACACACACACAGACATACAAACACATATAATTGACCTTGACCTAACTTGACCTGAAATGACCTCAGCAGCAAAAACCTGGTCGGGTAGTGTGACAAAGAAGAGGTTCTAGCTGGCTTGGCACCAGAAAACGGCATCGTCATCGGTATATGATAAGCAGCGCACTTGATATCCAGCGGTGACCCAAAACAGCAACATTTTTTAGTTTGACCTGACCTGGAAGGTCAATGACTGACCTGAGAAGGTAAAACTGGGTATCATTGGATTCGTCTCTTCCCAAAGAATCTTTTTGGTCTTTACCGCTAAGCTCTATCTCCAACAGGAACGAAATGGCGCGGGGGGTGGCAACCACCCCCCCCCCCCCATGTGCGTTCTAGGATGGGAAAATGGCATGTGCGGGCGAGGGTTAATAGCCCAAAGTCGCGTACTGTCATTGTACTATTAAACGGGTGCTCGTAACTCACTACCAGTCGCTAATTGTCGTAATGGTTTATACCGATTTAGTTCACGACCATGAATGTGTATGCGCTCAAACCGTATACTTACGGGACGCCCTTTGCGGCGAGCACCAGCCTCGTACGCTGGGCGTACGGGCAAAACTTCATGGAGTAGCATCTCAGCGTGCCCGGCTTCAGCGGAGGGCACTCCGAGCCTGAAACACAGAGACGGACCGCGGGTCAGCATAACTGCGAAACCGGGTGTTATTCTGTGGAGTGAGTATGCCGAATGATCAGACGGAACTTCACTGACTACCGGGCACATTTTTGTAGACAGTAAGAGCTCAGAAGTCTCCCGGCCGCCGACTGTGTTTAGATTCGTCAGATCCAGTCCAGAGATGTCTGCTGCTCAGCCTGCAAACCCAGTTGAATTGCAAGATACATCTGACGGCTGAGCATCCACAGGTCGCCTGCGGGAAGGACGTGTTCTGTGTCTGGTCCATAAAAGGCTGGCGAACCCCTCTGGTCTATGGACCATCGGAAACTACAGGATCGTGGCTCTGTATCGGATGGCACTGGACCGGAGCCATATTACCGGCTGGTCTGGGACGGCCGCCGACGCCGACAGAACACACAGGCACGGCGGTACAGACGGCCGACTGGCCGAACAGACACACGACGGATGCATCGGACAAACAGCCTGATGTTGCTGATGGTTGCTACGGGGAACGGTAAACAGTAAAGACAGCCTTGGGAGGCTTACGTCTGTTTTATGTTTTCATATTCGGGCTCGATAGGACGTCTAAGGCCTTTACATTGCACCGCACTAACAACTATTTCCCACCTGCCCTCACTAGACCGACCGCAGTTCGGTTTGCACCAGCCCACCACCAGCACCAGCCCAGTACCGCCTCCCGCACGCCGAGGCCGACAGTAAATAACGCTCGTGACGCTGACTGCTGGGTTTCAAACAACTTGGTCGACAGCGGGGCGGCTCGTGAGGGCCGGGGTTCCAGCCAGTCACCATGACCATCACGTTCTGCCAACTCATGGTGACTCCTGAGTCCTGAGTCCTGACTCACAGAGAAAGGTAAGTCTAAGGAGAATTTCTCCTTTCTGTATATTTCAATCCCTGATGACGAAGACGAGAGGTCTTTGAAACCGGTTGGATTTATTAAAATATGCTGCTCTGTGCCTCAATATACGTCTTTTTGTTAAGCACGGTTTATTTCCGAAATGGTGGACGAAAGGTTACTGAATGACTAAGCTCACGTAACATAGGTACATTCGGTATGGCTTTTGTTCGGCCATTATAATTGATCTGGAAGTCTGACAGTGGAGGAACCACATCTACAACCATGTCCACGTTCCATACTAATCAGTCATTACATAAGCCCTCTGAGAACGAACTGTTTCGCAAAACTGCCGGGACCGAACAGGGTCTGTAGAAGACCCGTCTCGCACCAGCCGCACCTACCTGTAGTCAGGTGTTTGGTCTCGCTGATGACTCCCATGCTGCCGCTCACGTGTCCCGCTCCTCTCAGTTCAGCTCTGGTGCAGCTCAGACGGGCGACTGGCGCGCGCTGCCGGCTGCCGGCTCACGTATAGCCGGCGTGCAGCCGCCGGCGGCGGCCGAGCCAAGGCCACGCCGAGCCGGGGCCGCCTCCGGATCGATAGAGTGGACTGCATCGGCACCGTGACTCAGCGGACCGGTAGGAGTCCGGAGCAGAGGTGCGCAGTCATGGCGGTGAGAATGGAAATGTCTCGACAGCCGATGAGATGCCACGGTGGTCAGAGGACCCCGAGGAACGGTGCAGTGAGATGTCCCGGAGTGGCCCTGATTGTGGGAGTCGTTCCAGGGCTGTGACTGTGGGAGACATTTCGTGGTCACGGTGGTAAGGTTGAATATGATCAAGGAATGACATTTCGATTTTTTTTAAAATCAAAATGGATTTTTCCAACCACAAATTTAGTTAGACTGATGACCACTGGTTATCCATCATTGACCAGGAGGTTGCAGTGTACAATACTGAACTGTCCGAATAAATACGCTCTTGTACGCTTTCAACGCATAGGCGGCGGAACGGGGAGGGTACCGGGGCACCGTGCCCCCTTTGATTTTAGCATTTTAACATTATTGCCTTTAACATTATAGGGCGTTGCATGGAAAGAATGGGACCAAAAGTCGGCAGTGCCCCCCCCCCCTAATTGAAGGTGTTCCGCCGCTACTGTTTCAACGTGCAATACAGTAAAAGGCATGCCAGACCCGCCGAACAATCTATCACCGCATAACAATAATCCACAAGCGCTGCAGGCTGCTGCGCTGGCACACGGATTGGCACAACTTGAGCAGCAGTCTTCCGCGACATCTAGGACCAGGTGTGGGTGAACCTATGCTACTTAAAATTGATACTAGATGTCAGGACCAGCCAGAGCCACCTCACTATACACCTCACACTGAAATGCTTCTCAGTTCTAGTCTATATGACGTCATAATTTATTTTTTTCCTTTAAATGTCAAATTTTTGCTTAAATATTGCTAGGTTACTAAAGGATGTAAAATATTTTACTCATACTTTATGATTTAAAGGAGATTTTACTTCGTTGGAGAGAACAGGAATTCATAATATTATTATAACGTCATAAACACAACTACTGGGAGGCAGCACGAGAAGTCTGGAGCAGCGGTGAGCATTCTAGAACTCGAGGTCATGTTTATATACGCTCTTGGCAAATCCGACGCGATCAAGACGCGATTCATTTGACATACGGCGAGGGAGAGACTGTGTGGTGTATGCTGTGAAAGACTTTGATTTCCTGAGTTTTTCGATACAAGGTGAGCAAAATCAGTTGGTGGCAGTTGGTGGGGTGTATTTTGGTTATTGATTTAACGAGCGATGGTGACAGGGGAACTCTGAAGGGCACTGACCTGCCTTTGTTGGAGGCGTTAAAAGTCGAAAGTGTTTGGAAACTGTATTAAATAGATTCTAATCATCTCAAATTTTTCAACTACCTACTTTTCTCGCTATTTGTATGTTCAGACTTCAGTTGTATATGCCGTATTAGCTGCAAAGCTCTTCAATATGTAGATCATGCTGCTTATAGTTAATTCATAAGTTGTGATGTGCATATTCCTGCTTGGGTTGGGGCTTATGCCTACTTTTTTTTGCTACAGGAGTAGACTTGTTCTTTATGCTGCCCATTTTCCATTGGTGCTCATTTGCATAAGCCTCACAACAGTTTTCTCGTTCCTTTCAGACTTGTTCGTGAGCTTGAGCTATACAGACGAGCAGAATGGGCAAGGATTTCTACAAGGTATTGGGCATTGGCCGCAATGCCTCTGAGGATGAAATCAAGAAGGCGTATCGTAAGATGGCGCTCAAATATCACCCAGACAAGAACAAATCACCTGGAGCTGAAGAAAAGTTCAAGGACATTGCAGAAGCATATGAAGTTCTAAGTGATAAGAAGAAAAAGGAGATATTTGATCAGTATGGAGAGGAGGGCCTGAAGGGGAATATTGGCGGCGGTGGTGGCGGCGGAGGCGGAATGGGCCAGCCAGGCGGCATGGGCGGTATGGGAGGCATGCCGGGCGGAGGCCAGAGTTTCAGCTACACGTACCACGGCGACCCTCGCGCCACCTTCGCCCAGTTCTTCGGCACCAACAACCCGTTTGAGACCATCTTCTCGGGTATGGGCGGCCAGGGCGGCGGCGTCATCTTCGACGAGGAGATGGACGATTCGCCCCACGGCGGGATGTTCGGCGGCCCCAGGTCTGGCACGTTCCGGTCGCAGTCGTTCGGCTCCAATCCGAACCCTCCGAAACACCGCCACGGCAAGCAGGATCCTCCGGTCGAGCACGACCTCAACGTGGCGCTGGAGGACATCGCCAAGGGCTGCCGCAAGAAGATGAAGATCTCGCGGAAGGTGCTCAGCCCCGACGGCCAGTCGCTGCAGCGGGAGGATAAGGTGCTGGCCATCGACGTCAAGCCCGGCTGGAAGGCCGGCACCAAGGTGACGTTCCAGCGCGAGGGAGACCAGGGCCCCGGCAAGATCCCGGCCAACATCGTGTTCATCATCCGCGATAAGCCGCACGCGACCTTCAAGCGGGACGAGTCCGACATCCGTTACGTGTGTCCGGTGACGCTGAAGGACGCGCTCTGCGGCACCACCGTGATGATCCCCACTCTGACCGGAGAGAGGGTGCCTCTCGACCTCACCCGGGAGGTCATTAAACCGACCACCACGCGCCGCATCCAGGGCCGCGGCCTACCCTACCCCAAAGAGCCCAACCGCCGCGGCGATCTGATCGTCAGTTTTGACATCAAGTTCCCCGACAGGTTGTCCTCGAGCGCCAAGGAGATTATCTCGAGCGTATTGTGATTTGTTTTCGGGCCAGTGCGCAAGTGTATAGGATCGTCTCGCCGGGCTTTGTGTGCGTTCTAGTGCATAGGAGTGATGGTATGCTTTCGATTCTGCTTGTTATATGCTTATCTCATGTCATTGTATACTACTCATTTCCATTCGTGCGCCGTGTGACTTGTGAGTGCAGTCGGGGCTCCAGTCAGGGCACAAGGCCAAGTCTTGGCCTGAAGCCACCGTAATACGATATTTGTACGCTTTGAGAGTGTCGTCGGCGTGCCTCTGAGCTGGTCGTCCGTGATTCTATTATCCTGTGCGCAGTGTGGTCTAGATATGTGCGTTATGGGGCTTGGATAATGTGTGTTATGGAATGTGATTGCCATTGGTGTGTTGTGCTGTAAATATATGTCACGTTATTATACTGGTCCTTTTTTAGGCCGACGGCGTGCCGATTCAGGTCAAGGTGGGGCGAGGGGACGGTCGGAGGGCTTATGGCGTTCTACGCCGGGGTAGAGTTCATTGGGTACGGTCAGCGGGTACAGGCCGCCAAGTTGGCACCCTACACATCAGGAAGTGAACGCGCGATATTTGGGATGGTTGCCTACGTCGAAAAGGAATTGATTAACGTTCTCGGTGCTGCTAGTAGTTGTATAATGCCGTCTATTTTTAACTCTGAGCTTTTATGAGATAATTTATATTCAAGGAAAGGACGAACTGATACGGATTTAGCCCGAAGCACCTACTTAAAATCAAAAGCCGAATCACGATGCTCAAGTGAACAATGTGAGTCCAGATATTATGCTTAGCCTATTAGACATGTTTATATAAGCACTGCGTCGCACTCCGGTCCGTCACCGAGCTGTGGGCGATACGGGCACGGCATCGAAGGTTCTCGAAAGGTGGGTCAAGCGCGGTCGCACACGTTGCGTAAGAGTTGGGAGGCAGAAGACCTACCCAGCCTCGAATATACCATAAGCAATTAACTTTTTTTAACACTACTGATAAACATTTAAAACATTTTGGGTACTTGATTTCAGTCATTGGCCATGGCAAAATCTGGAGGGAAGGGGAGGGGGGATAAATGCTCGCTGCCACGGCCAAGGATTACGTGACAAAAGATCGTAAGACAAAAGATCGTATGGAAAAAGATCGTACGAAAATGATCGCAAGATAAAGATCGTATGCTGTAAAAGATCGTACGGTAAAAAGATCGTAAGGAAAAGATCGTAAAGCAATTGATCGTATGCAAAAGATCGTACGAAAATGATCGTAAGATAAAGATCGTATGTTGTAAAAGATCGTACGACAAAAAGATCGTAAGCAAAAGATCGTAAAGCAATTGATCGTATGAAAAAGATCGTAGGAAAATGATCGTAAGATAAATATCGTATGTCGCAAAAGATCGTCCGACCAAGGATCGTAAGCAAAAGATCGTAAAGCAATGAATCGTACAAAAAAGATCGTAGGAAAATGATCGTAAGATAAAGATCGTATGTTGTAAAAGATCGTTCGACAAAAGATCGTAACGTTACGTTCGTAAAGTAAATAATCGTATAGAATAGTGTTGTTACGAGCGAGCGAGCGCAGCGAGCGAAGCGAAGTCTTTTGAATATAACGGGAAAATCTCAGTATGAGCGGCCCGGCCCGGCCCGGCCCGGCCTGTAACGCTTTTGAGAGGCTTATATCTCAGCAACCGCTGAACCGATTGGCCTGCGGTCTTTTTTGCTGGGTAGCCCCATCCCTTCTTCCCCGTAATTGACTACTTTTGATACATCTCAGTGGCCGTCGTGGCACGTGCCACTCACTGCCACGTGAGAAGTCAAGGGTGTTCAAGCAGTTTTGCAAAAGTAATGATTTTGAGAGGCCCATATCTCAGCAGCGGCTTGAGCGATTGTCTTGCGGTAATTTTTATAGGGTAGCTGCATCCCTTCTACCAAAGGTCGGATACCCTTGATCTATGTGAGTGACCCCCAATGCACGTGCAAAATACAAAAAGAAGAGGTGCCAAATTTGTTCCCATTTCAGTAACTCGGTAATTACTGGGGCGATTTCGAACCACTGATCGACAATTGACATCTTTAACCGGCCTTCGATAACAATGACTCCTATAACTAGGATTGGATTGAAACTAGGATCCTATAACTAGGAGAATTGCGATTTCGATAGTGATAACGCGATAAACATCTGTTGATGACTCGTAAAGCGATGACGATTCAATATGAAAATGTAACAGTGCGAAGGAAAAAGTATTTTTGACGCCGTTTACTTCAGCAACATTTTAACCTTCCAGGCGGGGGGGGTGGGGGGGGAACATGGGTTTAGTTGTATTCACTTCAAATAGGTAGGTACATGAAAACGGCAGCACATACATTCATTTATTCGGCACATATACAACGCGTTGCTTTTAGGTGTCATTGAGCCACCTAAGCTCTGAAATACATAGACCCGGGAACAGGGGGCAGCGGGGGCGCTTGCCCCCCCCCCAACTTGGGAGCCGAGGGGGCGGCGCCCCCTCAACATTGAGGCAGCGAGAAATGATCTTTCCTCCCTTTTCCGGACTTCTTTCCTTCTTGTACATCTAAACATCAACACACGGCATTTCCCTTGCCATCTGAATGGTTTCTGCTGATACAGTATCGATTTGCCAACATCTGCTATTGTCATCCCGCTTTGATTTGGGCCTGACCTTGGCCATAAGTTTGGCAGGCAAGATTGTATACTGGACCATTTCGAGTCAACTTTGATAAATTTATATAACGTACAACAAAGTAAAATCGTTGCTATAGGTATAACACAGTTTACCCGCTCCGGGTGTGAGGGAGGGGTGTGGGGCAATGAATGCACTGACGTGGCGCCCTCGGAGGGCCGGTATGGGTTAAAGGGACCCTCCCACCTTCAAAAAAGTTAATGAATTGGCATGAAAGTGATGTCGCTCGGTTCAGAAAGAGCAAAAACGAATATCTACCAAATTTCATCGAAAAATATTCACCGGTTTTCAAGATATTAGACTTTTACTTTTGTTTACTTTTTGGGATCTGCGCTGTTCCTAGCGACTTTATTTGAAAGTGCGGCATTTGTTGCGCGCAAAGCAGCATATACCACCGCGTGCTACCAAACGTTTTAGTAAAAGATTTAAAATCGTTAGATCTCCGCTGACGTCACAAATTCTAAGGGGGCATACCAATGCATTAGCCCCTTAGAATCCGAAAACTGCAAGTTTGAAATTCGATATCTCCGAATTAAAGCATTTTTCGATGTTGTAAGTGCCCAAACCGGTATTTTCAGGCCATGGCCACCAATTTGGCTATCTCAACTCAAATCTAATGTTAAGGTGGGAGGGTCCCTTTAAAGCTCAGCGACACCAAGGGCTTGTTTGGTGCCTTCTGTTATCGGTAGCACCCTCAGAATCACCGGCATAGGGCCCTCAGAGCCGCCGGTAAGGGGTCTTTAGAGGCACCGGTGTGGGGCCGCCATGCAGGTGCCGGTGTCGGCGCTCAGAGGTGCTAGTGTGATTCTCTCAGAGGCGCCGATGAGGGTCCTTGCAGGTGTTGCTGTGGGCCCTCATAGACGCTGGCGTGGAGCCGTTACAGACGGGTGTGGGGCCTTAAGAGCTGCTGACGCGAACTCTCTACAAGCCGGCAGGGGGTCTCAGTGACCGGCAAGGGGTCCTTAGGCCAGCAGAAGAAGTCCTGTGGGGTCCTTAAAAACCGGCATGGTACTGTCAGACACCGGTGGGGCCCTCAGAGTCACCGGTGTGGGGCCCTCAAAAGTCACCAGTGGGTGGCCTTTAGATGCGCAGGTGTTGGTTGGGTCCTCAGAGCCGCCGATATAGGGCTTTAATAGGCACTCAGGGTTGGGGGTGTGGAAACCTCAGAGACACCGGTGTGGGCCCTCATAGGCGCCGATGAGGGCCCCACAGTTGCCGTTATGGGACCCTCAGAAAAATAAGTGTGGGACCATCACAGGCGGGAAATGCCCCTAGAACTGGCCCCTCAGGTCTGTAAGAACTCTCAGAGGCCAGTAACGGGCCTTTGGAGACCACCGAGGTGCCCTTAAAAGCCGCAAGAGGCCCTCAGAAGCCGGCGTGGGGCCCTTATGGAGATCTTAGTGTGGCTATTCAGGGCCCATGAGGTGCTCTAACGAGCCCCATGGGGCCCTTCTGAGTAGAAATATGGCCATCGTTAACCCTCAGCGGTCAAATGGCGCCGCAGGGTTCCTCGGCCCGAGGGTCCCTTAGAACCCGATGGGAAGCGGGGGGGGGGGTACACGCCACTGTTTCATATGCATCATGTCATGTATTTTAGGCTCGCCCCCCCCCAACTTGAAAATCGTTCCCGGGCCCCTGCTGAAATAACATCAATGTATGGTCGAGCTTACGACGGCCACTTACTACGCGAACACAGAAATTGATAAGCTTTGTATGCGCTGGAGTTGGGCTGCACCATGTGAATACCATATTTTGACTGTACGATCTTTATCTCATACGATCATTTGGCGTACGATCATTTTCCTTGACGATCTTTAGCGAATACGATCTTTTGTCCATACGAGCATTATGTCGTACGATCTTTATCCATTACGACTTTTTGGCATACGATCATTTTCCTTGACGATCTTTAGCGAATACGATCTTTTGTCCATACGATCATTATGTCGTACGATCTTTATCCATTACGACTTTTTGGCATACGATCATTTTCTTTGACGATCTTTAGCGAATACGATCTTTTGTCCATACGAGCATTATGTCGTACGATCTTTATCCATTACGATATTTTGCATACGATCAACTGCCTACGATCTTCTGCCATACGATCTTCTGCTTTACGATCTTTTGTCCGGTTACCCCGGCCAAGCCTCTCAGAACAGAACTCTCACCGACACGAGCGTCACCTAGGTAAATGGCGGAACAGCCGACAGCGTCATCTGCACGGGCTGCGGTGTCCCTGTGCCCTCTCCACTCGATCTCCCTTAGCCTCCTCTCTTCTACACATAGCACATCTTTGTTTCCCTCCTCTAATCAGTAATCAGCATCCTGATGTTTTATATCCTCTGCTCTCCTCTACCTCTGGCCTCTGCAGCTACGCAGGGCCCCTGGGTGCTGCACATCATAAGAAAAGTATGTTTGTTTGTTTGTTTGTTTTGTTGGGTTAGGCCCTTTCGGTCGACAAGACCATTGCAGAGCCGGAAGGATGATAGGAATTAGGGGGAGACATTGGTCTGGGCAGGCACCCTAGTGAGTCGCCGGGGCTGAGCCCGTCCAGAGGACAGGCCACCCAGCCCCAAGGCACTCACTGCACCCGGCTACGGGGTGCGCTCCCTCAGGAGCAGCGGTGCCGCTCCAAGGGAGCAGCCCGCACGAGATAAAGTTGCCTGCCCAGCCCGGAAGGGGGTTGTGGCGTGGAGGAGAAGGATTTCAGTATCCTGAGGATAGAAGCACGGACAGGTGAGAAAAGTATGAGAGTTACCAGTAGGTATATGACGGCTGGTTGCAGTGCTGGGAGAAAACGACCATCTCCTTCTGCGCTGGTCACATTAGACCAATTTTTACGGGCAAGTTAATACCGGCCAACACCGGATCGCGATGCCGGTTCGGTCAGTGACGGTCGGAGGCATGGGAGTGACAGCGTGACAGGTCTTTGGTGACTGCTCGCTGCTGCAAATGTTATCGCTTTGCACCCCGGCACGTGACGTGGGGCGCCGACACTCGCGACTCGTGACATTCACACACGCTGTCGTTTACAATGCCAATAGCCAAGGCTTATGGTCGGCCAATCCCAATATTTGTGTTGAGTTGGTGAAACGATACAAAAATCTATGGCCGTTGAGTTTGTATGTACTAACTATACATAAGAATCAACCAATATGTAACATAACCTATTTGCTGAATAATTACAGGTGAAACTATGGCTATCAACGAACCCGTCCGTTTTCTTCATGTAGGTACCCCAGTGCATGCAGCCGAGTAGCACGGTGGATACGACTCTTTACCTACCGTTTCGCCTCATAACTGAGCAATGAGCATGAAGTTCACAAAAATGAAAAAACTAATGCGTTGGCCATCACGAAATTCTGCTCCACCTACGACCTTGTCTGTTCCTAATCTGCACCAAATGTGTACCAGTCACCCGTCATGGCCGTCGTGAAAACGGCTATCTTAACCGGGCCTTGCTGAGGCTTCTGAATTTCCGTGCTCGTTGCTGAGCGATATCTGAACACCCTCCCCCGTTGTCTACGTGATGAATGCTGATGACCGTCCGTCCATGACCTAACATGACCTCAGGGGTAGGTGTAAGGTGCGAGCACAGGTGCAATCTGCCCTTTCAGCATTCGATACTTATGTACGGCCCTCCAGTATGAGAGTGGTTGGTTGGCCTATGTGCTATTGGTGTAATAACTTTAACCTTGCAGGCGGTGGGGGAGGGCATTTTTTTGCCCCCCCCCTTTAGTTTTTTTCTCGATATATCTCGAGAATCGCTGCCCCGATCGTCACCAAACTTTCAGTCCCCCCATGAATAGCTATTGCACATTGTGACCAAATAATTTTCCAAAGGCTATGATAGAATGGACGCTAATGACGTCAGAGTGACGTCATTTCTGCCATTTTCGACCCAAAAAAGGTTTTGCGAGAGGAGCTGTAAGGCATACAGCTTTAGAGATACAGAAAAATCTTCCGACATGAAAGGTGTAGAATTGACAGGGCTACAAAAGTGCTATCTCGGATTTTTAAAGTTTTTGGATTTTGACCCCCCAAAATAAAAAAATATATTTTTTGAATATAATAGTCGAAAAATCCAAAAAGTTTTTTGAATTTCGAAAAACTGGAAGAAATATGATAGTCCCTAACGCTTTCTATCTACATACCAAATTTGAGATCGATACCTCTTTTTTTTGGCTAAGTTATAGCGAAAAAACTGTTCAAAATTGATGACGTCAAATTTTCAAACTCAATTTTTAGCAATTCTAGACCTCCTAGCGCAAAACAAAGACCACCATTAGACTCCCCGTGACGAGCTGCATCGAATCAATACCCATTTTATGCAGAAATATCAACTTTGAAATTTGACCTTTTTTGACCTGACCTTGACCTGACCTCCACCAGAAGGTAACCTAAACCGTACCTGATGGTCTTATAACCAACACCATTGAGTTAGAAATGAAAAACTGGCCATAAAACATGCATCGCACAGCCTTAGTAAAGCTGGGTTCATGTGGTGACCCTTGGTGACCTTTGGTGACCTGACCTGTGACCTGACCTGGTATGACCAGTGACCTCTAATAGCAACATAATAGACAACTGACGCCCTATCGCTGATTTTCGACAAAATGCGTTTTACTCGGTGTTATAGCGCTTTCCCTAGAAGCCCCGTGAACGGTGAAACATGTTATCATTGACCTGACCTGTGACGTCATCGGTGACACCGAGGTCAATGAAATTTGGTTTCCTTCGACAAATTTGACAGGGCTATCGAACGCCGTTTGAATTTTCCGAATTCGTCCAGTAGTTTCGGAGATATGGGGGGGGGGGCAAAAAAATGCCCCCCCCCCCCCCCACCGCGCGGAAGGTGGCCGGGAGGCCCACCGCCTGCCGGGTTAAATGACAGAGACACTCCTGTAAAATGACTCAATAAAAATGAGAAGAGGGTTCGTGCACACATTTCGGCAGTGGTTTTCAACAGCCATTAGACGTATTCATCAATACAGATCGATTATTGTGATGCTGGCAACCAACCACTTAATACCTTGAGGGCCGTGCCTGTATAAATAATGTTTGACATAATTCAGCATGACTCGGGTCCCTTTTATTCTATTCACTTTAAATGGGCAGGTCATAAAATTGACCTGTCCTTAGGTCACAGATGTAATAAACTATAGGTAGGTATGTACCTATAGGTATGTGTTTTCCCTTCAAGACAGGATTAAAACAATACAAAAAATCAACTTCTTTTACTACAGCTTTGCTTTCAAACATGGACTATTGACAAAGAGTTGCCGTAATGGGGACATGAACGATTTAGTAGAGCTTAAGTTTCCTGACATCCATTTTTTGCAATCTTTCTAAATGCCAAAGTCTTTGTCAAAGTGTCAACCACCGTGACTAGTTAGTCGAAATAAGGCACGATGAAAATGTCAAAAGGCCCGATGCCCGAGCTGACAGCCGAGTATAAGAGTGACGAGAACTGTCATAACCGGCCTAGTTCAGTGCCACTTCGATATCTATATGGGCCAGTTCGTTCTAGTGCTCATTTCTCTCTTGTGATCGGCCAGAAGTCAGAACTCCTGGGTGCCATGCTGTCCAGAATCAGTATCATTCTTCTCATCCTTGTGTTGGCGTCAGTTGCGCAAGCATTTATAGGTGAGACGAAGCGTAACAGAAGGACGTCTTTTGGTTGGGCTTAGAATTGAACCGAATGCGTATGTGCATCGTAGGCAAGCATCGTAGGAACGAAGTCAGTTAATTTGTACCACATTTATGTTTAACATATTTTGTCCTGGTATAACTAATTTATCGAACTTCAGAGGCTAACGTGTTTATTAAGTATCATTGAATTTTTAGCTGCAATGCTTAATAAATGCCATCTCAGTGGAGCTATTTATAAAATGTATATGAACTGGTATAAACGGGTTGCTACAGGCCAGATTAGTTCACACGTCTGCATATTTATGTATGTGTTATTGTTATTGTTTGTTTATAATGGTGTTATGGCGTATCATAGGCTTATGTCGATGGACTGTCCCGTTCGTATTATTTTCTTCTATCAGCCGCTCGGTGCAGGGTTAGTATACGTTCTGCACATTTTTTTTTTTGCCGCAGGATGCAGCTCCCACTGCAGTAGTGACGTCGATTGCCCCAGAAAGGGCTGGTTCTCCCATAAGTGCAATCGCTTCTGCTGCTCCGATTCAAGCAGTTGTCACAGTCATCACTATAAGAAATGCATCAGTAAGTGCTAAATGCTAATCTTGTGATACGTGTAGTGCTGATTGTCGCTATCTCTGATTCGAATGCCTGATACGTAGTTGACTTACTTATTATTTGGGTCGGTTTTATTCATATTTCATATTTCTTTGGTGGGCCGTCGTCGACGGATTGAATTTATTGCCACTTTAAACCTCTATTATCAACATATGACACTATTATCTTTGTTCTATTGGCTCTTTTCAAACAACTTAAGAAAGGCGATTTATTAATTTAGTTATTAAAACATCATTAAATGAACCTTTTGTTAAAGGTGTCTAATTATAATTTAATAACGACTTGACGACTAGCAATTAACGATTAACGATTTAATGACGCATCTAGGGTAACGATTTACGAAAGGTGTTTGCTGCATTTATTTTATAATATTTGAGCGTCTATGTAGTGTCTGTTCGTGCAAGGATTGCTCAAAATTTGTGTTAACACTACTTGTGAGATTTGATTTATTATCAGACGTGTCTCGTTATGTTTTCAGCCGTGAGGTACCTTGAGTGCAAGAGTGATAAGGACTGTCCAGGCTATCAGCCCTACTGTGGGAAGAACAAGTGCCGCCGTAAGTGAGCAACCCATTCAGACTTAGCCATGTCTCCAAGGGGTGAGATTATTTGCCGCCAGCGTACACAAATTGAACGCGTCATTTTCCACAGCACCAACATTGCACTTTGCTTTAGCAGAACGTAATGGTATCCGTTTGATGAGCCGTTGTCGACTGCTAATTCGAGTATGCAGGTATACCTACCTATTTGGCCATAAAAAGAGTATTAACGATACGTTTGAAGTTCGAACGTTTCATTTACGACAGAAGCTCGAAACCCTCGGGATACTATTGGGACTGTCTTGAATGCCTTCCAAGGTAGTTAATCTAGTTGTAGTTAGCCTATTATTTGTTGCCTGAGTCAGTTGTATACAACTACAACTAATAGCATTTATAGATGACCCAATATGTGTCCAAGTCAGTACCTTAACCAGTATCCACACATAACTGAATGCGAAGCCAGCGAACCTTCTCACTGATTGACGCTCGTACCGCCCGGTCTTTCAGCGGTGACGGAGACCTGTCTCCAGGGTGAAAACGGCATCGCCGCCTGCAACCGCTGCTTCTGTGTCGGCAACGCCACCAACAGTGGCTGGGGCTGCACCAAAATCGGCTGCCCAAAACCCTGTGAGTGCCTTTCATGTATTCTACCAAGGGGGAAGGTTCTGCAATAAGTAGACTGAGTCAGGCTACAAAGTCGGAAAACAAAACTTTCAATAAAGATATCAAAGGCTACACATCAAATGTTTAGCTTTTTAACTGTTTTCATATTAACCAAGTACTTGGTGATTATTTATGTATCAGTGTATTCGAGTGATGAAATGAGTGCCCTGACAAACTCCCTTCCAAATCACAGTGCTCCATCAACGGCACTGTATGCTGCCAGCCGTTTAAGATGCGGACGCTATCTCCAGCGCTGATGGTATCACGAGTGTTGTGTGATTTACAGTCAGTTTTCGCGGCGCGGTGCCCTGTCGGCTGGCACCGGACCTCTGCTGATATACCTGCAGCCACGAGAGGACTGCTGGATGAAGGACGCACCGACACCGGCCTGAGGAGCGAGTCAGCCGAACGGAGGCGTTCCGTCTCAACTGAATACCGGGAATGCCAGCGCTGTATCTGTACTGAGCTCCGAGAAATGTATATCAGGGAGTGGTGCGTGGATGTGAACTATCAAATCAGCGGTGTTTTGAACGCAATACACCTTCTAAGCACAGCTATCTTAGCTTTGAGTAGACAGACTGAGCCCAAACCTGAAACTGTTTGGATTCCAAGTGTGGGGCGTTCGATATCCTACGGCGACACACGCACATGACATGGCATCGGAGATGGGGAAATCCATAGTCTGGGATATCTGGCTGCTGGCATATGCTGAATCCCCTTTATATACTTGCGTGTTTCCTGCAGCTATTGATAGCTTTATACACACACAAAAAAATACCATAAAGATAGTAAATATCTGTATATGCAGAATGCAGATGCACTTCAGACATAAGATAAGCGCTGAAGGTGCGTACTCGAAATCCCATCCATTTGATCTAAATCGGGCTTGGATCGATATTTGCACGTTCGGTGTTGCTCGAAGGTGCAGTTATGTATCTCGCGACTCAAAGCAACTAGTGAAGCCGGAATGTCCGTAACAATAGTGGCTCGGCACGGTTTATCGGAATCCGGCTTTTAACGAGCACGCGCCGCGTGAAAAGGCAAACAAGCTATAGTGCGGAGAGAAGATCATCTGCAAAGCTGGCGTAAGGAAATCCCGTCTTGTCGAAAGGCAGGGTAGCGTGGATGCAATAATCAATATTTGCAAACAACATATGTCTATTAAACTCGCACCTATCTAGCAAATGCTTTGCATGCAACTATGATGCAACGTATAACTACAGATAAAAAACGCTAAACTATAATAATTATAAAGTTATGTAGTTACAGACGCCGAAATTTTGCACCTTGCGCTATTGAATTGGCCTGCCTATGCTAGTTTTGTCCTTATCGCTAAATCTCCTATCCATGCATTATCAAGATAATTAGATGAAATAATTAGGTAAACTAGCGTCTAGCGACAAATACGCTCAAAGCAAACGTGTATGAGAGTGAAAGTTACCATGACATAAGCCGAAATATTTCAAGTAACCAACTTTTCACCTGAAGATAATAGAATGTTCCATTGTACCGACAACTATAAGGCCACCGTTCACTGTGATTACGCCCGCGTTTGCTAATTTTATGCGCTTGCTATGAGTACTTTACCTCTACATGAGAAATCATTTCTTCTTCATGTTTATACCTAAGCATTTATGTCGCATCCACCAAGCTGTGTCAACATGTTTCAATATCAGTGAAGAGCTGAACAAAATAGACCATAAAATCCAGTTTTGAGAAGTTGGTTTCTAAAATTGAATCAGGCTTTGTTCCGCAGTAGTCCAGTCGCCCCTTTGTCTTCCTCTCTCGGTGCGGCGATGAAGTCGGCGGCGGTGGCGACCACTGGTTCGGGCGAACCTCCCCTGGGAGTCCAGCGGACGGTGCAGCTCGGAAAACGAATAAAGAGCTCCACAATTTGGCTCGGTGGAACGCGGGACCCGGCTCCGCGTATATTTATGCAGTGGTAATGGTATCAAACGCACCGGTATGTCGTTTCAAAAAGGAATTTTCGCGAATGATTTGACTTCAGGTAACATTTGACCGGTCGTGGCGGCCTCGAAGCACGAGGCGATGCCATGATGGTACCGCTGGGCCCAGCGCATGACACCAGACGATCCCGGCAGTGCATGCGGGCCCACCACTGAACACGAGACGGGACACAGGACGGTCCTGGCAGTGCATGCGGGCCCACCACTGAACACGAGACGGGACACAGGACGATCCCGGCAGTGCCTGCGGTCCCACCACTGAACACGAGACGCGGGACCCAGGACGGTCCTGGCAGTGTCGCGGGGCCGGTTCAGGACACGTGGTGCCACCAGGCCGGGCACCGAGGACGTGATGCGGACAGCCCCGGCACGGAACACTAGACGGCTCTCTCAGTGCCTCATGCCCAATACTGGATACGAGGTGCCGTCGGCTCCGGTACTGGATGGGAGACGGTTTTCCCAGTGCCGCCGGGCCCGTTAAACGACACGAGACGTGCTCAGTGCTGCCTCAAATCCAGCGCAGGACACCAGACGATTCCGACAGTGTCTCGGGCCCGACATAGGACATCGGACGATACCGGCGGTGTCTCGGTCCCGCTCCTGGACACGAGGTGCGCGGCCGTGTGCGCCATCGACCGAGCGCGAGCGGCCGACTTACCTGGCGGCCGGCGCTGGCAGTCGAGCAACAGGTGCCGCCGGCGACGGCAGCCAGCCACAGGTAGCGTCGGAGACGGCAGAAAGCTACAGGTAGCGTCGGTGACGACAGCCAGCCACAGGTGAGTGCCACGGCAGCTGACTCAGGGCACTGGGGAGTGCTGATAGGAGAGTGTCCATATAAGGGGAAGCGCCCCTTACAGGAGTGCCGAGGAGTGCCGGCACGACAGGGGTGGATAACCAGTCCCCGTGAAAAGGCAGGCGGTGTGCATAAGTGACAGGACCGCTGATGTGACGTTTTAGTATTCCTCTGATGGAGTTCGGACGTTTATAGTATTGACTTTTAAATCGACCTATGAATACTTTGCACGATGAAGGCCAGCTTTGAGCTCCGTAAATACCTTAAACGTGAAAAAATAACATTAGAATCATTAAATACAATAAAAAAGGCAGGTCTTACCTTTTAGTTAGAAACCAACAAATCTCGATTTCACTAAGTTGGCAGATTTAGCCAGCTGAGACTTCTGTGCAAATTACTATTGTAAGTTATGTAAAAATGTATGTTCATGTATGATAATGCAATGCATGTTAACAATGTACGTTCATGTATGTTAATGCAATGCATGTTAAAATTTGTTTTTGTTAATGACTAATGTATTAAACTGATAGTTAATTGTCACTTAGATATCATAAAATGAGTTATATATAGGTAATACCAGTATAGCGCCTTTTGGGGCGACTAACGGAGCGAGCGAGGGGTGAGTCTTGCACGTGCAAAATTTCGAGGGGGTACCTCCAACTGACTTGTGCACGGCACCCTACTGACCGGTCTCTAGCGATGTGCCAAATTTGAGCACAATCGGTCCAGCCGTTCTCGAGATCTGGAAGCGGCACCCTGCACGTGCGCACGTGCAAAATGGGTCCCAACTGACTTTTGCACGGCACCCTACTAACCGGTCCCTCTCCCTAGCCATGTACCAAATTTGAGCGCCATCGGTCCAGCCGTTCTCGAGATCTGGAATCGACCCCTGCACGTGCGCACGTGCAGCAGCACCCCAACCCCGGCACATGGATATGCATTGCCTAGTGGGTGCCTACCTGCATGCCAACTTTCAGCGCAATCGGCCAAGTAGTTACCGAGATATTGCAACAATTACAAAAGTGACACCTCTTCGTTTTGCACGTGGCTGGCACGTGCATAAGGGGTCACCCACATGCATCGGGAATAGTCCAATACTTGGTAGAAGGAATGAAGCTACCCTACAAAAATTACCGCATGTAAATCGGTCAAGTGGTTGCTGAGATATAAGCGTCGCAGAATCGTGACCACGGCCGGCCGGCCGGCCGCTCATACTCAGAAATTTCCGTTATTCTACGTAAGACTCCGCTCGCTTCGCTCGCTCCGTAATCAATGATCCGCATGGTAATCTCATTGGTAAGCTCGGTGCCTGCGTTTTGCTTACCCATTGGAGCTTTGTATTTCGACAGGCATCCAAAGTTACACCCGTCGAGAACTGTTTAACGCCCCTCAAACTTCAAGTACATCGTTTATGTAAAATAGCCAGTTTATGTCCTGTTTCCTCTTACGAAAACATTTCGGTGGGGTATGAAGCTTAAATCGAATTGCAAACATTGAACATGTAAAATAGCGACTTCACACGTGCGGATAAAACACCCTTCATTTCAAGCACAAAATAAACAAGAGTTTAACTGATGAGCTAAGCTAACTTGTCTCCCCATTCACCAATCTCGCGACTCGCTTGAAATTTCATTACGAGTATATGTAGTCAGTAGTGTCTGTGTCTTTCAATAACTTTCGGCAATGGATGCACCAAGCACCAATTTGGCTGACAAACAGCCGTCAATTGTCAAAACCTGCAATAATTCAACCTGGAAGATCACTTGCCAATGCCAGCACCTCATACTCTATGACCTTAACATTTCCTTCTAGCATGTAATTGGGGAAAATTATGTTATACGATCATATATCTGGCGATGGCTTACCGTTTTAAATACCCACACTCTGAGTACTCGAAGGGCCATTCAGTGCAGTTCGGGCTTTAAATGACAGTGGGGGCATTCCACGATAGATCGTACCAGGCCCGTCACCCTCATCTCTCGGATTTTAATGAAAATCGGTCCTAGGGGTAATCATAGGCCCCAAAGACGCCTGGCAAAATATCAGACTTCTCAGATCAAAACTTTTTGAGTTATATTGCATTACATTTTTTAACTTCGGTTTGTAACGGTGAGTTTGATGGCCTATAACTCAAGAACGGGTTAAGCAACCAACAAAAAGTAAACAACACTAAGCTTGCAATGAATCAAAAATTAATATTACTATTCAAAAATTCCAAAGAAAAAATTTCATTGTTGAGCAAAAACCTTAATCTTTTTTCATTTGCCTCTAATGACTTTTGGGACCAAAATTTTTCACATTTTTATTTTTCAAAATAAACTTCATGTCATTGCAAATCGACATGCAAAAAATTAGAAAGGTGTTCTTTCTATAAGTTCCTCATTTTCCCGCAAACAAAAAGGGTTTTGGAGGGGTTGATACGACCCTAGCACGCCGTTTCGCTTCTAATAGAGCTAGAGCCTCGCGGAAAAAACGAGCGTGTGTGCCGTTACAAGTCGCAGCCATTGGTACCCGATTTTAAGGTCTCAGGTCAACCGGTAGCGTCTGAGGTCAGGTCAAGTGACTGAAGTTACGGGTTCGGTTTTTAGTAAATAACTTCGCAAAAAAGGGCCGCAGAGCCGCGATTTTGGCATCATTGTGTTCGCCTAGCTCAGGTGCATCGAATGGTATACTTTTTGTTAGGGTGATGTCAACTTAAGTAATTGACCTCGGGTCAAGGTCAGGTCAGAGCCCTTCAGGTCACGAAGCTCGGCAAAGGGTATCATATGGCATATCATTCGATTCGGAAGGTCTTCCCGAGTCCATTGGTGGCTTTCCCGACTCTCTAGCTCCATTTGATCGGGAGTTATTGACGAAAAACTCGTACGACCCTAATGACGCCATAAATGACGTCACTCAAGGTTAACAATGCAAAAGTGAAGCATTGGACTTTGCAGGGAGTGCATGAAATTATGATACCATGTACGTGAGATAGTTTTAGATCATTCTCGGCGCCAAAATAACAGTTTTTATATTTCCCCATTGATTTATAACAGTGATGTCACGTGACCGACCTGACCTCATGTAACCTTAAAAAATTCCTAGATATACAAGTTGTGAGACCTCTGGAGGACACCATGTATGCGTCCTGTAACTTTTATCTCGGACAGCTATGGTCATTGGCGTCCAAAACAATGTCAGAACCAAACAGCCTTTTTCACCCTCGCGCTTATAGGAAAGAGGGTTGGATGAACCCTCTTTTCATTTTTTCAGATGACTCAGACTTCAATTGAAATTTCAGTAACCCGTGATGTCACTAGGCAGCTTTACCACGCCATTTGTAAGCTCCCCTCCCGAAATCACTATTCGAAACCGTTATCGTGACGTAAAATAAATACATTTATAGAAAGAACACCTTCCTAATTTTTTGCATACTTCTTAACAATAAGCCAAATATTTTTTTAAAGAAATAAAAATTCAAAAAAATTTGGTCCCAAAGTCCAAAAAATACAAATGAAAGAAAACTCGATATGCCATATATAAAAATAGCGTATTTTTCGAAATTTCAAAAATACATATTAATCTCTGTTTCATTGCAAGTTCAATGTTATATAACATTTGGCATTTGAATAATCCGTCTTAGAGTTACAGCCCGCCAAACTTAGCGCTGCAAAGCAAGATCCAAAAAATGTTGTACACCATAACTCAAAAAATACTTATCTGATAAGCCTGAAATTGTTACAGGTGGATTCAGAGCCCCTGATTACCCCTGAGACCAATTCTCGTCAAATTCCGAGAGATGAGGGTGTCAAATTGGAAAAAAGTGGTACGATCTATCGTGGAATGCCCCAGTGATTACGTCGGTCTACTGTAGGTGGTTCGATGTGGGCTAGCGGAAAGCCAACTTTCTGATGGACTCGACCTTTCAGAGAACATCCAAGTTCCAACCAGCAGAACGGACTTGGTTAGGCGCCTGTTTGTCCGCCCGTCTGTTTGTCTGTCTGTCTGTCTGTCTGTCTGTCTGTCTGTCTGTCTGTCTGTCTGTCTGTCTGTCTGTCTGTCTGTCTGTCTGTCTGTCTGTCTGTCTGTCTGTCTGTCTGTCTGTGTGCATTTCTGCCCGCGTGACATTATGTTTTTGCCTCCTGTCTAATCTATAATATTTCACTTTTCTTATTTTTGCGGGCCACAGGACCGCACCAGTGACAACCACAGACCACTAATGGCGTCCTGGTGACACCCCTGTTCACTGGAGGTGCCCTGGTCACTCCCCTGCCCACCTGGTGCTTCACAAGCCGAGTTGCAGGGACCATGTACAGAATGTCTCCCATTCAGCCCTGGCTGGAGGCGCTAGATAAAAGGTGAGACCATTTACCGAATCAATGGGTAAATAAATAATGGTAATATAAAACGACGCAGAACTACCCCGTAAATAGTATCTGGGTACCTTCGTGGTAAGAATTTGAAGGGAATAAGTCTCGAGACACAGGCCATTTAAAATTGAATTATGGCCTTTTAGTTTTCAAAATAGAAGGTAATTATTTGAGATTCTGGTATGCCAGTAAGAGACTTTATTAAAGATCAATAAAAGCTTTCAAAGGTGACTTGCCTATTTCATCAATGCCATAATCATTAGGCATACCAATCGCGTGATACACCCTTTCGGTGTCACTATTAAGCAAGGACCATAACATCGTGCAATTAATTTTCATTTTAAGAACGAAACAAACGCTGGCCATCTCATGTTTCCAAAACAGTCATTACACCGTGTTTAAAAGTATTCGACATTAAGATGCCAATTAAAATTGTGGGTATCTTACTGCCAATAATCGATGAAATTGTGATTTCGTGTGCCTGCCGCCAGGCCGGGCGAACGGACGATGACGGACGTGCAGTACGTGGCCGAACTACTGAGAAGTATCGCCACGCTCCGAGACCTTCCTCACGAGCTGATCCTCGACCTGGCCAGCTGCGCCTACCTGGAGGACCTCGAGGAGGGGGTCACACGTGAGTGGGGACCTCGACGAGGGGTCACACTAGCTGTGCTAGCTTTCTTGTTATACGGGTTATGCGTTTTTGAAAAACGCCGAAGAAGTCTTTTATAGACGAAACCAGTCCGCTTGATTATATGAAATTGCCTCTTTGATATATTCGTGAATACTTGCTCTTTACTACAAGAACCGTTCGATAGTCGGCTTTCTATGTTTCAGAATATGACCTCTCTAGGAGCATGACCTTTTGAGAAGCGCACCTTAGCTGTGTAACGTGTAGGCAGTCGGAGCGGTGGAATATGTTTTAGCTTATTCTCCTGCTCAAGATCAATCGTCTACCACATATAGACCAGAGATATTCTATTTGCGGCCGTGAGTGGGGTTAATACCGTGAGATCTTCACCTAATCCATGGGAACAAGGATTAGGTAGCTTACATAAGACAGAAGTCCAGTTCAGAACGCAGCCAAATTGGAGCGCTTACTTCCAATAGCAGAGCGAACTTGTTGCGGCGCAATCGACAATTTCGAAGTTGTCAAACGTCTCAAGTCAGTTAAAACCGTTTAACCCTCGCCCGCACATGCCATTTTCCCATCCTAGAACGCACATGGGGGGGGGGTGGTTGCCACCCCCCCCCCCCGCGCCATTTCGTTCCTGTTGGAGATAGAGCTTAGCTGTAAAGACCAAAAAGATTCTTTGGGAAGAGACGAATCCAATGATACCCAGTTTTACCTCCTCAGGTCAGTCATTGACCTTCCAGGTCAGGTCAAACTAAAAAATGTTGCTGTTTTGGGTCACCGTTGGATATCAAGTGCGCTGCTTATCAAATACCGATGACGGTGCTGTTTTCTGGTGCCAAGCCAGCTAGAACCTCTTTGCCACACTACCCGACCAGAATTTTGCTGCTGAGGTCATTTCAGGTCAAGTTAGGTCAAGGTCAACTATATGTGTTTGTATGTCTGTGTGTGTCTGTGTGTATACTGATGTGTGCACCGATTGTTTTTGGGTCCATATTACATGAAATCATGATCTGAGAAGCTTTTACCAAAAATGCAGTCAAAAAACTTCACAAAAAGTAAATTTAGCTTGACTAAAATGCAATTATCTTATATGACCTAGGTTGACCTTGACCCTGACCTTGACCCCTGTACATCGTCAAACAACATGTTCCATGATAGGTGGGAGGTAAGACTGGCAAACAAGGCCGAAATCAGGGTGTCAAAAGCCCACAAGGCCCATGGCAAACGCAAGATGTTGAGAATTGGCCATTTGGGTCATGACATGACCTGAAAAACAAGGTCATATCTCCGAAACCAAAAGTCACAGAAACTTGAAATTTTCAGTGGACATCAAGAAAGAATAGAGGAGCAGCTATACGAAAAATCAGCCTTCTAGCTCTAAAAATGTCGAGTGCAGAGCAGAAAGACTACCTGGGGGGGTGGCAACCACCCCCCCCCCCATGTGCGGGCGAGGGTTAAGTGAACTGAGTTTTCTGTTCCATCTTTCCGTATCATGCTGGAAGTAAATGTCGCGAAGTCATCGTTTTAAATAAGCCACTGCCACGCATCCAACTAAAATCCAATCTCAGTCGCTCACCTCCCAGATCACAGCTCAGAGTGCGGCACCGGCAGCAGTAAACTTTGCGTGGACTTTATCAGAGGAGCCGAATGGTTTCGGCTGTAGATATATTGAGCTCCGACCGCCGTCGAAATTAGTTGACCCGGCAACCCCACACAAGTTGCGCACCGACCAACAGAACTAATGCATACATTCAAACCCATGCCATTGCTGCTGGCTTCTTGATACTTTATAACTTTCTGAATGTAATGCGTCTACACAAAGGAGCTTGGCCTACTGCAACGCATTGTGTTTTTTTCCTGAATGTTATGAGGCTCTTTCATTATTAATGTATATGATAAATGTTAATTTATTGTATCGAAATATTCTGGGCAATGTCTGGTTGGTTGTACTTCTACATTTTAGCCCTGAATAGGGAAAAAAATTAATTTTTCAATATGCTTAAAAATTATGCGATGCAATTTCAATTAAGAAAATGGGCTTCTGCGTTACAGGGGTTAGTGTCTAGGGTCGGCTCTGGGATCACTTTGCAATGACGTCCAATTACAAATTTGTACTTACGATGGACGGACACCATGGCGCAAAAAAAAGAACGAAAATGATTTGAACGGTGTGATACATTTTATGCTCCGATGACCATTACCGATCGATAAAGTAGGTATGAAAATTTAAATGTCAGTGACATGCAAAGCTATTCATTTATCGCCAACTGATATTAAAATGCTCTTGGACTGCCATGGACATACCGTAAGCCTACGATATCCAGGGTATAATAGTCATCACGGTATGTGTCAGCATCATATCACCATCATAATGGGCGAGCACCTAATCATCGAACCTCTGCACTATCAGTGGGCGATATGCGGGACTTCGCAGTCTCATTTCTACGCCTTCCATTCGGCTTCAACCATGCTCTGGAGAAATTTCTGGGAGCGTTCTGTGCTGTCTGGAGATCAGGCTGGTTTAGACAAATGGCCGGGAGAGAGCAAGGTTACCGTCAGACCAACATCTCTGGGGTGCGTGACGATAACTCAGTGCGGAGACAGTCCACGGAAACGTCTTTCTGCGGAACGCTCAGAGCTTTTGGGCTAAGGTCACGGCATTTTGCACTGCATTATGGTGAGCACGCAAAACTGACTGTTCATCATATCCCTATTGGTGACTGCTAGTTTGACTTGCCCGCTGAAACAAATTGAGTAGGAAACACCTTTTTAACTCTGCTAAGGCTTCGTAACTAGAGGCGGCAGGTGACGCTCGAAAGTTGTCAACAAACCATAGAAATAATATTTTGCTTTACGACACAGAAATTGCAGAAGAAATTTGATTAAGCCCTTGTCGTAATCACTGGCAAGGTAAAACTGACCTAATTTAAATATTTCATTAACATCAAGAAGACCCGAGAAGTTGTGCTGCAATATCCTCTCTGACAGAAAAAATATTTGTGAATCAAAGGCCGAATTCCTTTCAATCTAGACAATTCCGGAGGATCACATTTAGGCAAACTCCAACGCGTACTCGTACAGATATGTCATTTCATCATTGCCATTCGTTTCGGAAATTGGTCGCCCTGATCAAACACTTTCCGGTAATGATATGATTGGCAATCTGTGTAGCTAAGTGCGTCTGGGTTCAACAACAACATTGCCTCTCATTTAACGCTACAGGTGATACCGGATGCTCTTCAGTTCAATGTGTTAGAGATGCAGGCTCGATGTTGACTGCAACGTTCTATATGTATCTGCCCTATATGCTGCCCTCTCAATTTAGTAGGCAGGACATTGCAGTCTCCGTGTCGGGAGCTCGATTTCAAGTCTCTTCGCCTTGATATTTATTATTCAAGACTTCAATGTGGTAGATGAGATGGCCATTCCAGCTGCTTAGACATTCCAGTGTTTCGTTAAAATCGAAGGAAATTGATATTCAGAGCTAACTGTTGAAGCTTTCGGTAACTGACGGTCGCTGTGTGGCCGTCCGTTTCAGTGTTTCGTCAGGGTGACCGCGGCACCAACTGGTACGCCGTACTGTCCGGCTCCGTCTCTGCCTTCCCGTCCCGCGACGCCACCGACAAACTGAGACAGGTTAGTGACAAGACGAAAGCTACCGATGTGCTGCGATAAATTAGTGAGGAGACGAAAACTGCCGGTAAGCTGCCAGTGCCAGGCTTGAGGCTAACGGAACGGCATGACTATCTAGAAGTCCACCGATAAACTGAGTCTTGTAGGTGATGGCACGGACTATACGAGTATATTCACCATATTTGTATGCATATATATTATATATGAACCATGACAACCTGGTCCCGACCTCCACCACCCGCACCACTATGTACTAGTGAGACCCGAGGCGCAACGGTGGCGCCCTCGTCGCACAACCCTCACCGCCGCTACGGGTGCCTTGGCGCGACCATCGGCCCATCCGCCACCGCCGCTCGCGGGCCTTGCGGCTATAGCGCTGAATAATGGCTCCCATAGCCTAACAAGCAACGAGTAACGACTGACCCTAAGGCTCAAGGAATAGATGACTTATGTTTAAATTCCGAGCTTAATTGTAACGCATACGGAAACGCGTGCTATATACATAATCTATAGCGAAATATTGCACTAAATGCCAAATATTACGTATATTTTCATTTTAGGTATTTAGGTCAGCACATCTCTAATGTAGACACATGTGCCTATGGTGGTGACGTAGTGACACGTAGGTACACAGTGTAATTGCTTCCGAGGCGACGAACAGTTGTCGATACGACAGGGCATTGCCCTGACTGCAGGAAGTTGTTGCACGATGCCACCTTGACAACTAATTACAACATAGTTTCCACAGCTGGCCAGACACCCCAGCTGGCGTCCTACCTTCCCAAAAATCCCTCCCCCATTCGTCTCGTCATCAGCAGTCCGGGGAAGCGCGGGGTTTCCTCCGCTCTCCTCCCTCCTCACAGCCCGCCGGGGGCCGTGAGCATTGATTTCCGATTCGCCGGATGGGTGTTGTGTGTCCGTGGCGTGTCGGGCGCAGTGCTCACCTCACTACCAGCCTATGGAGCCACGGCGGTGAGAAGCACGACCCAATTAACACCCTGCTGCATTCACTAACGCGCCCGTGTGCTGCCCGCATGCGGGACTCGAGCCGGTCAACTGTGGCGAACTGTGACGGGAGTCAGGACTGTGACTGGGCTGACTGTGGCGGGTCTGACTGGGACGGGACTGACTGCGGAGCCGGGCTATGGTGTTCTGTAACGTGCCCGGCTGTGGCAGGTCCTACTGTGACGGATCGGGCTATGACGGGTCTCACTGTGACGTTCCCGACTGTGGAGATTGTGATGGGCCGGCTATGGCGGTTGTGATAGACCGACTGTCGCATACACAGTGGCGACTCTGGCCGACTGTGACAGGCTGTGACCACAAAGGCAGCTGCTGCTCATATTTCGCCTGCTTACAAAGTTACCAGCATCTTTCCATGGATACTAGTTACATATGTAGCAACAATCTCAGCTAGCCCCACAGCATCTTCACACCTCACTCCAGTCATCCACAGCATCCTCAAGTCATTCAGCACTCATTTCAGCCCCACGGCAGTCCCTGACCCCATTCATCACTGACCACATCCGCAGATCCAATTCCACGGCTGGGTCTCTCAGCGACGTTGTCGCCGAGGTCAGTTCATACGTCCTGGTGGCGTATATACTGGCAGGTCTATACGTTATTGGCTTATATATCTTGGGACTGGCAATGGAACTCGCCATCTGTTCAATACCTTCAGTGCGGGAGCATCCGATGTGATCCCGCCTAAGCCAGCCTGTCCCGAATTTCGGCAAGGCATCAGTCTCTCTTGAGTCTCAAGTTGAGCCTGCAGCATCAGGCTTCAGACGAGAAAATTGAGCTACCGTAAGTTGGGGCTATTTGAGACAGTGGGGCTATTTGAGACAGTATTTAAAATTGCTATAAAATAAAAACCACTTAAAATTTATGCTTGATTTTTTGCTCAGGCGATTTACTACTCGATTCCACACCTCCCTGAGCAAAAATATCACACAAAAATCAAACGATCTTCATTTTTTAGCGATTTTAAATACTGTCTCAAATAGCCCCACTGTCTCAAATAGCCCCACTTTACGGTACTTTTAGTTTCGATTATTACATTTTGTGGGGAAACATCTTATCATAACTTTATGTGAGAAAGATAACACCAGCTACGTTTGCAGCCAATCGTGAGCATATAATACATTTTCATCTACATATAATACATAATTTCGCTCTCTTCGCAAATCAGCGAGGCATCTTAGATGATAAGTGTGAACCACCAAACAATCGGTGCAGCCCGACCAGACAATCGGTGTAGCTGACCAGACAATCGGTGCAGCTGACCAGAAATCGGTGCGGTCCGACCGAGCATAAAGGGTAGTCCGACCAGACAATCGGACAATCGGTTCATTTCAACCAGAGAATCGGACAAGCGACGCAGTCTGTCTGGACAATCGGCAAATACTGAACGTGGCTCAGCACAGGCCGCAGCCTCAACCAGCAGCACCATTCGCAGCCTATTGCTAATGCAGACGACTATTGCCCTGCTGTGGAAACAGTAGTGTCGTGCCACTCCGTCCTTACGGCCCGACTAAGGGAGACCGCCCATTACTAATGCACGCCAATGACCCGCAGAACCCGCTTCTGGAGCATGGCCAGTGAGGTAGGCTACGACCCGCGGCCAGCCGCACTCCGTAACTCAATAATTGGCCGTGCTATGGGACGCCACTTGAGCGTAACTCGATAAATTACTCCGATACGGAAGCGGCTGGTCTCCTAAGTGCACGCACACACCGGTAAATTAAAGTAGCATAATCTATGCATAGCGACCAGGTGCCTGACCAAGCCTCCTTCAACTATAATACGTGAGCTGCAGGATGCCGAAGAATGTAAAATTGTACATAGGTTTATTGCAATATATTGCGGTGCGTCCATTTCCTGATAAGATATTCTTTTGTTGGAGGTTTCCGATGCTGCACCAATTTCCCTCCCGATCCGCTTGCAGGTCACTAGGTCAGCGTGACAGAGGGCGGACAGGCACGGAGGAGTGGCGGAGAGCAGCGCGTGGCAGAGGGGAGGGGCACGCAGCTCGGTCAGGGGAGGGAGAGGGGAGCACAGCTGGGACACGTCAGTCGCCGCCGGTAGAGCAGCCGGAGCGGCGGCGGATTCTATTACCGGTAATCGCGGTCGGCCGATAGCGGAGGCGGAGTGCCATAGGCAGTTGGAGCGGGGCGGCAGAGTGGCAGACTGTGACCGCTGGGTTACCTTATAGTGCCATCACTGGAGCGAAGAGATCCACAGGTGGTCCGGCATCTGAGCGTGTGTGAATTTAGAGCGACTTGGAGCATCCGAATCCGTGGAATATCCGTTAGTGTTGTTGTCGAGTATGTACCGCTGACTGGCGTGGTGCCGGGCGGTGGGCCGTGTAGTGTGTGGGGAGGCTGCGGCAGCTCACCAATCCCCGGTCGATGGAAGCCGGTGACCTGTGACACTGGTTCCACGAGGAGTGGCACCGCATGAAGCTGGACAGTTGGACACTGTGGGCGGCAACCTGCAATCAGGTCTATTGTGGAGCGCGATGAATGAAGTTCGCCTACTCAGAGCAGATGAGTGAAGCCCACTCAATTGTTCCATTGGCCTCAGCGCTGGCTGCGACCAGACAAGACATGATTATTCCGATATTTATTTGTGCAAAATCTGATGCGACATCAAGTTACCAATCAGCTCAGCATTGTGCCTCAAAAGGTTGATTTCTACCAGTTGCCGCTATGGTTTGACTGACCTCTGCTGGGAGTCGCCTCACTCCGGTTGACCTTCACAATGTCACTGCTCTGGTTCGGCTGACCTCCACTAGATGTCACTGCTGCCATCCTGCTGTGGCAGCTGCCGCGGAGGCGAAGGACACACCAGCTGGCGACATTTGATGGCCAGGTCCCGGAGAAGGGGATGCTACTGCGTTCAAGCTGCTTCCGAGGTACGAGGTCAAGGTCAAAGGCATTTGCCAATTACTATAGCTCAAACGATCAATTTTGTTTTGCTTATATGCTTGCGTATAAGCCTACTGGGTACCTACTGGGTACTAAAGGCTTTGGGAAAACAAATATCATTAAAAGTAATGCCAGCCTTTTGTAAGAAGAAAGGAGTAACAATCGGGCTGCGCTTTACCATTTACTATTTAGCTTATATATGGCTGGCTTGTGCTTACAAAAGCAAGCAATTTTCCTGCGCTAGGCTCCATGTCTATCTTTAAAGGCTCGCAGATTTAACAGCTAAGTTACTTCGCCTGCAGACAATGCTGTTGCACAATACTACTCAAACTTCACGCAAGAATTGTTCTGGACTTAGCAAAGTTTCACAACATTCACCGTGTGCATCGGTTGTCAACTTGTCACATTATGTTCATGAAACTTTCTAGTGAAGGTTATGCCGGTCCGGACATTTGCTAGGCCAGTTACATTATGTCTAATAATGGTGAACACATGTCGCTAGCAAAAATCGAACATTTCACGTCATGGCTTGAATTCTGGTCCCATTAAATCAGTCTGAAGTTTATCGAACACGTGGCTCGTTTTGCCACCGGAACAAGTTAAATCCAGAACAAAGCCGGCACACCGGCCCGGGGCTCTCAATACTGCGCTCTGATAGGTCGGACAGGGTGACGGGGCATCGGGTTACATTGGTATGCAATGACTGCCGGCCTGTGATGCTGGCTGTATCTGGCTCCAGGCGGGCGAGGGAACTGCTCCGCCTGTCATCGGATCGCTCCGAACAATCCGCTGTTACTTTTACGCCCAGTTATATTTCCAACAATCCACCTCCGCATCCAGTAGAAACAAAACGGAATGAAAAAGCGGCCACCGCGCCGTTGTGCTATACGGGTAGCCTACCTCTCAGGCGCGCGGTGTGCTTTGCGGGTAGCCTACCCGCCAGGCGCTCAGTGTGCTGTGCGGGCTGCCTACCTGTCAGGCGCCCAGCGTGCTGTGCGGGTAGCCTACCCATCAGGCGCATGGCTGGCAATGACTTTTGCCTTACTGATTGTTGGTAGGCACTCTGGTAGAAGCAGCACGTGTCCGGGGCAGTCCGGCCAGGGTTTGTGGTGTGTAGAGCAGCTCAAGCTGGGACGCGATTGGAAAAAGCTGAAAACAATGAATTAACTGCAGCGACACTGGATGAGTCGGTGTTCAGCGACAGTAACAGGCAACAGCATAGCTATATTTGGAGCTATATAGGTAGTGATTCACTTGCGTTGGTTACTTTGAGTCTGCTGTTGGTTGGCCTAACTTGTTACACTTTCTAAAAGAATATCAAAACTCGAAATAAGTCAGTCAGAAATAAACTGCTGCCTGAAGCGCCATACGGTTTACGACGCGTAGAGCTATTTTCTTGAGTTCGATGAGACCTTTGACCTGAACTGTAACCCGACACGATGACGTGGGGCCGTTCTGCTTGTGGTCGCGGGGACCGAAGCCATCGAACCTAGCCTGTGACCTGTCACTTGGGTGTCTATCCTCCCCTTCTGGTCCTTTGACCTTTGACCCGTGACCAGTCGTCAGGGTGTGGAGTATGGAGCCATCCTGCCTCTGGCCAGACTGTGACCTTTAAACTGTGACCCCTTGTCAGGGCGTGAAGCCGCCCTATGCCTCTTATCGTTAGCTGTGAGATGACCTTTGACCTGTGACCTGTCGCCAGGGTGTGAAGCCGTTCTGCCTCTGACCGAGGACTGTGAGTTGAACTCAGACCTGTGACCTGTTGCCAGGGTGTGGAGCCGTTCTGCCTCTGACCGAGGACTGTGAGTTGACCTCTGACCTGTGACCTGTCGCCAGGGTGTGGAACCGTCCTGTCTCTGGTCGGGCGCCACATTCGGGGAGTCGGTACTGACCGATTCTCCGCGCCATTTGACCATGGTCACCCGAGAGCCCTGCCAGCTGGTGCGCATCGAGCAGCGGGACTTCCGCAAACTCTGGCACGTGAGTAACGAGCGCACCGTCCGCCGACCGAACGGTCGAGGCACGACCCCGCATGTTTCGGGTGAATGGGCTTCGATGCATGACCGCTCGGTACTAGCAATGCTGTCACATTTTTGTTGCTATTTCCGTGACCAGAAACATCAACCAATCGAATGCTGTAGGAAGAGAGAGAGAGAGAGAGAGAGAGAGAGAGAGAGGGGAGAGAGAGAGAGAGAGAAAGAGAAGAGAGATAAAGTGAGAATGAGAGGGAGCAAAGTGAATCCATTGTTCTATCATAGTGGCTTATTTTGGAAAATATTTTAAGGACTCGTCCTAAAGTGGTTCAGCAATTCTAATTAATAATTAAGCTAGTATACAACTGCAGAGTTCAAATTCTGGGGCATACGATTACGCTGCTGAGTATCTATTTTCGACAAAGGCAGTCATCCTCTCGCCGATAGCGAAACCCGCGCCTCTTGCACCACGACCGGCTGATCAGAGAGCAGCCACGCATTGTCAGGCGATTTTAACGAGACCATTCAGCTCGGAAGTAGCTTTCACTGGTTCAATGCGTGGGTCTCGCGCGATTGCTGTGGCCGCTCAGGCATAGAATCAGACGAACTCTCCCCAGTCACACTTGAGCTCTGCAAAAGTCAAGGGAGTATGCTTTGTATGCAGTAATGCGCTTCTCTAGAAACAGGAAGGATGATGGAGGCACCTTCTGTGAACACATTGGCTACCCTTTGAAGTTGTACTTATAACTTTGATTCCTGTTCTGCAATATAGGTACGAGGAATAAGTACTTACATACACGCCCCTTTTGTTATTTTTCGTGACATACATGTGCGCATAATTAATAATCGCATTACCTAACAGTGAATCGTATAGATATTTTTTCTAGATAACCTATGGTTTTTTATTGAGTTGTATGCATATCAAGTACCAGCGTCCAGCGTTTAGCAACGCCCATTAAATTGATTAAAACTGTCAAGTGATAGGCCATGTCTAAGTCCTGATTGATGCAGCCTCTGCTGGCTGGTGGCCCATGTCCGGTGTGAAGGTCCCGTTCACCAGGCGGCGATTTAGTGCGGGCCGCAGCCCGTGTCATTGGATTCTCTGAGACACCAGCGCATCCTGTCGTCCGGGTTACATGGTGAGCCGGCCATCTATTCCGGGTGACGGGCGGCGCGGTGGTGTCCCCCTGAAGTGCGCCGACCGACTGAATTTATCCGCAGACACCGCACACAGGCTCCAGGCACTTATTACGGCCCGCCGGGGCTTGTGGGCCGCGGGCGTGCGGCTCGCCGCGGCGCCCCCCAGGTGCGGGTCGGTCGCTAATTATCTGCGTTCGGTCAGGTGTGAGACTGCCGCGCGCCGCCGCCGGTGGTCCCGGAGCCGAGCGGAGGCGTGAACGCCCTAATGAATCGCCGCTCGTCCCGGAGTCGGCAGCGCGAATGATCCGCCCGACCGAGATGAGGATTCGCCGCCCCGCCCCTCCCCATCCTCCCTGCTAGGATGGCAGCCAGGTGCTTCCCACGGCGCTGGCTCATCTTACTAATTGAAGGCAAATGAGAATATACTGGGCTTTACCGAGCACGCAGTAAGTTTATTTTTATCGTCATCTTGTTTTAGCACTTGATATTGCATACCTACGACTGTTGATTATAGTGATAGTCCATAGCTAGAAGGGTTCAGAATTAGGTTCAGAGGTCCATCCTGCTCCATACAAAACTAAGTCTTGGATGTGCCAAAGCTTTTTGAAGGTAGCTAAACCCTTTCCGAGCAGGCCATCCATAGGTCAACTGCTTACGACATGAGGTATACAGAGGTCTATGGATAGTCATTTTTGCATCTCATTTTTACCGCGATTAGTTATTTGGTAGATTCTCCTGATGAATTAGGGTGCAGGGACATTTTGACTTTAAAGTGGGGATGTAAATGTGTCAAACAGCAGAACAATTATTGTCCCCAGTCATCTGTCAAATTTAAATGTTTACATAAACTTGCAGAGGGAAAGTTCCTGCTTCTGTCCACGCTTAATCCTGGATGAGGCCACCTGGTTAGGTGAACGAAGACCACGACGTTAGGGCCCTCTGGCGCTCCATAGCGACCCAGTTCATACGTTATGCCCGGAATAAGAGAGACTGAAAATGGGACTGAAATGGAACGCGATTCAGGTGGGATGGAATATGATTGAATGAGACCTGATGAGTTGGAATGAGCTAAAAAGGCGGAAATGGGACAGATGCAGAAGGAATGGGAACGGACAGGCAGATGCAGTGAAGAAAACGGAAGGTAAACTTCGGGTGGAGCGTGCTATATCGCTATCTTCATGACAAGTTCGCACCAGCTGCAAATCCTATGACAAAATGAGCCAGAAATAAGTCGATTGAGAAGGGACGACTCCTTCCATCACAGATTTACAGGAATCCATACCGTTATCCAGCCATGGCGAGCCATTTCCTTGGGCAGTTACCGGAGACGATTGCCGGCCTGATACGGCTTCTGCGTGACATTTGGACGGCGGCCGGCCGACTGCCGAGCAGACAGACCGCTCAGTCGGGTCGGCCGGCGACTTTATCGTCTGGGCAGGCCATCGCGGTGATTGCGGCATTAACCTTGTCAGTGGCGGCCAGGTGTCGTAGAACGGCCATCGGCCGCGCTAGTTCGCCGCTTGTAGCCCCACAGGTGTATGAAAGGCGATATCGCCGCGGAACACACGGCAGTTTCTTCAGGAACATTCTGCAATATCTTAGATAGACCGTGTCGCAATTGCAGCGACCCAGACTTTTGCTGTACCCTTGTTATGAAAGAATCTTGGTTCACTGAAATGTCACCCAGGGCTGTTTATTAAACGTAGCACGAAATACAGTGGCGTTATTACTCATATGCTAAGAAACATGAATCTACAGTGTCTGCTGCCACCCGAGAGACAGAGAGAGCGGGGATGGGGAGGGGACTCTGACGTTACCGCGGCGAGATACGGATATGGCGTCACATTATATGACTCCCTGAGAGATTTGATACTACCGTACAAAGCATATTTCTACCGACAGATAAATCGTCCTGCTGAACTACATAGGAAGCCCGAAGTTCGCAAGGGCTGTATGATTACCTGTTCAATATATAAGATATATTCCATAACGTGAGCGACTGGGGGGGGGGGGGGCTACAGAGCCTGTCTCTGAATCCACATCTATCTCCGGAACTTCTCGTCCGATTTTAGACATGTGGGACTGAAACTAATTACTCGCAATTTAGGAACATCATATAAGAACAGCAGATGTGCCTAGACCAGTGGTCGGCAGGTCCTCCGGGGTCGTGCCCCCTTTTTTGGCGCCAGGCAGGGCCATTACCCCCACCTACCAGACCCCATTGCTGATACGATACAACCACGGTTACTGAAATTCCATACTTTTCCGTGACTCTTTGGGTACCATATCTGCGAGAAACCGCAGGCCCCCTCCCCTGCGGTCTCTCGCAAATATCTCAAAAACGTTGGCACGGAGCGCCACCATTTTGGAACAATTGATCATACATCGTTTCTGCAGATGTTGTGAATATTTCAGACCAGAGTCACTCAAGGTCAGGTCACCAGATCACGTCAAGTGACCTCACCTCAGTAAAGACTGTAACGCCTGCTTTAGCTGCATTGAGTGACAGGTCTCTTTCAAACTTTCAGGAATTGATAAAGGCGACAGCATGTACAAAATTTGTATCTCGGAGATTTGATGTCGGTGACCAAAGTTAAGGTCAATTTCACGCCCTCTCCCATTATCAATGGGAGAGGGCGCAAAGTAAATGGTAGAAAATTGAAAGGCGCCTCTTTTGGACCATGAGTGTCATTCCTAACACTGTGACACTCTTATTTACAAGTAAACATGACCGCTGAACCGGAAAATTGCACCCGTAACCCCACTGTATGTGCCTGAGGTCATTTCAGGTCATGAATGGTATCTAACAGCTTTTCGCTAATAACTTTTGATAAAGGCATGCCAGAGCGATGAAAATGCCTTAGATGTGTTCAGCTCGACGATACGGATCGACTGATGTGCAACAAAACAAAACCTTCGATGTTTCTCGACGGGAGGATCACGATGCTGATAAAAGTGAGCTCTTGCAAGTTTTAAGTGACAAGTTATTTAAGAAAAACTATCATCAAGCAACGTACATTTTGGCAGTTTTTGTCTCCTGCAGGCTAAACCGTTAATCGTCGGTTGAATCTGAGGGCAGGCATCAGAAAAAACGCTAAAGAGAGCTATCGAATGCGTTTTTCCGCAGCGCTGTAGCTCTATCCTTTCCTGAGCTATAGGCCAGTTTGTCGAAAACTGTCATAGGTTGACCTGGAAATTGGCGAAATTTTACGTTCGATGACCTCTGGTGACCTGACATTTGATTTGACCTAAAAAGTGACCATATTTTTTTCTTCATCATTTCTTACGCTCTTTCGATCGCCGACTACGGCGTTTCGATAGTGACCCAGGAGCCAAGTTAGTAGGGGGTGTTCAACCTCCACCTCCAGCAGGGCGTGGAAATCCAGGAGCCCCAGCGGGGCGCGGGTTAACCCCCATACGTATAGGGGTAGCGGGTATTTTTCGGGAATAGATCACGTTAAAAGGGTCGGATTACGAAAAAACTGTACCATCGAGCCGATCATTTTTATCTGTCCTGAAAATGGCATGACCTTAACCCGAATAACCATTGATTTGTGGAATTTTTCTTGACATCATGGCAGGCCACAAAATCTCACTTCAAAAAGTTACAGCAGGACCCGATTTACTCGGCAGTTGTCATTGACCATTGGAAGGTCACCCAATGACCAACGACCTTTAAATTGGGTAGCAGCGGCTGCACTTATCTTCACGGGCAACACGCTCAATTTTTCTGCAAAGCTCCAGCTCAGAGACCGAGGTGCCCAGGTCAGGGTGCCATGGACGACTCCTCTCCCTTGCGTTAGTGACTGTGAAAACGCCAATAGACGAGCGCCGGTTGGTACATGACAGTTACTTTCAACGACTGTA